CATTTATATACATGTGTGGAATCGATTAGATATTGGAATAAAATTCAATATGAGATAATGTACATTCAGAAATAATAATAATAATACGAGTGATATTGATCAATTACAGTTAGATGGGAAATAAGACGAGTGTTTTATAGTCATCATAAGTTGCTTGTTAGAATGTTGTGATGTGTTTGAATTGAAATAGAATTTTAAGATTATTTATTATCCTCTTCTGATTTGACCGGCGGTAATAATATCTTCAATATTTCTGGTATTTGCATTGAGTCATTTCTGTTGCATGTGTTGGGTGTAGACTCGATGAACCAGGATTCAGTAATCAACGTCTCTCTCCACCTACCTAGATTATTTTTTAGAATTTTAACCCTCTCCCACACTATTGTGTGGTTGTGTATTAAAGCATGCAGTAATTTAGAAAAAACCTCAGCAGTTGCACTGCTGTTTTGGTGGCTTAATGCGGGCAAGCATACTAGTGAACTAGTAAAGAAGGCGAAGGAAGAACAGTAAAGCACAAGAGATATTGATTACTCTGCAATCCATTGTGGAAATCTGCTGCATCCAAAATGAAGAACAAGAATCGGATTCCCACCAGCTATGTCGAGTCAGTTAGTGCTTCTATATTGGTCACTGACTTGGCGAGTCACCAAAACTATTTCCAACATGTTATTGCAGACTTTCATCAACAGCTGCCTTACTTCAGTACTGACGATCAAATGGCCAGGAGAGTATAGCAACAAGGAACTCTGGGAACGAACCAGTGAAGAACCTATTACCCATCAAATACGCCTAGGGAAATAGAGATTGGTTGGACATACTCTGAAAAGACTGTTGGTTGAAATCATGCACCACGCAAGGCACCAAGTGGAACTCGAGTGGGAAACGGCGAGTTGGGTGTCGAGGATGACAGGGGGAGGTTGTGTTAGGGGGAAATTGAAGCTTATGGGCAACCATGGAGCCAGATGAAGAGGACTACAGAGAGCAAGGCGAGATAGAGATGTGCTTCTGAGGCTATATGTTCCACTTGTGCCGGAGAGAGGTTACGAAGCTACATCGATTGATATGACTAGGACATGTGTTGCCAGTCAAAACTTTCCTCGCTGAGGAAAAGGTTAGGAAAGAGGAAGAAGTAGTCAGAGCTAAGCGTGGCATAACTGCATGAAATCTTTGGCAGTTGGTTTGAGCCACGAAGGGGATGTGTAGACTTTAAGAACCAGTAACTGTAGACTGTTGGTGATGTCCCTCAGAATCGTTCTCAGTCGCACAGATGCATTCAATCTTTGTGTTTTTCGATATCGATTAAGGTCTCTATTATTCTCCGTGTAATTACTGCTTTTTCCATATATTTCATACTCGTTTATTTCCTTTCTCTACCTTTTTGTAGAGCATGGAGTGTGGCAACTTGAGCTACTGAACTTCTCTGTATAGTTCTGTATTGAAACTCAGTCAGTCAGTGAATTGTTCGTGAAAGATGTGTAACCATATGAAAAATACTTAAACTTCTTTACTTTGGCGCTAAATCCAGACAACAGATTCCCTAATGTCAAGCAATTTCGCCGCTCACTAAATTTATGTGAAAAAAAACTTGTTCTAATTCTCAGGGTTAGTGGCATTGCCCAACAATTTATACTTAGGGTTCAATATTTATTTACGCTGTATCATTCAGAATGCCAAGAATTAATTCAACGGGCTATAAGTTGACAACACGTGTCGGTGGCACAGCGGTAGGATGCTCGTTAACCACGCATGTGGCCTGGGGTTCAATCTCCGTTCTACGCACTCCTTTACCTCCCCAAACCAGTAATAAGACTGGTGAAGAGGAGAGGTCGGGCATTAGGCTAGCAACCACATCCCATAAAAATCAACACATTGCTAGCGAAATTCCAAGCTTCTAGCTTGAAGCCCTATGTTCCACTGTGAAAGAAAGAAATATTTTAAGAAATAAGTTGGCAAAAGTAGTGTCAATAAGCGCTGGAGTGACAACTGTGAATACTGAGAGTTATTGTTTTTAATATTTCATTATGAAACGTTCGAAAATTCTCATCCATCTTTCTTTTTTATAAATTAGGAGATTATTGCCGGTGCTTTAAATAAGGAACCACTTCTTTGGCGAAAACCGAAACCTGAAAGTTATGAACACTTACGTGAAAAAGTCGTCGCATTCGAATCTTTGTGGCATCCCTTTGATAAGTGGCAGGACAATTATCCAAATAATTTATCAAATGAAATAAAAAGCAACTATGATAATTCTTTATCGAATGATGAACCTGAAGGTCCGGCTCTACCACCAGGACATTAGTTTTGTAATCATTGATACAAATAAAGTAACTTTTGCTACTGAAAATTTGTGTAACAATTACACCTTCGTTATTATGATGCGTGTTTCGTTTGACTGACAGTCTATGACCATAGGTTATTTTTTTGGGACGACCACCTACTGGATTTTGAGTGGATTATAACTCAGTACGGCAAGATTTCAGTTGCACTGCTTATGTAAATTGTTAGATAGTTGAAGGTAATCGGTAAAAAGCGTTTAACATAGGTTTCGTACTTGTTAGCAAACTTGACTGAAGGAATTCAGTCTGCACCAAATGCAGGATTAAAAGCATTGCATCAGCTACTACTTAGTGTCCAAGCACAGTACATCGTATTTAATTTTTCGCCGCTTTGCAAGTAACTTGTTCGGCCTGTATTTTATTTACCCTGTCTTCTGGAGTCATATCTTCCTCATTGTGAAATAGTGTAACTGTTTAAGTTGACAGAGTGTTCCAAATTATTGGTTATTTTTGTGTTTCTGTATGATGTAAATAGTTTCATGGCGGTCATATCTACTGTGGGTTTTTTGGTATGAGTTCTTCGCAGGAGTCTAAATTTCAGCAATGTCGACTATGTAAATTTTTTGCATTTCATTCGAGCTAATAATCACATTCATTCTGTTTCTGCTGCATTAGCAAGAGTACACATTTGTGAAAGTCAAATCTTTTTCAATAATTCGTGTATGACATCAATGATTTTTTCAATAACTAGACGGAGATTTATTTCTTCAGCGCTCTCTAAGGGTATTTGCATACATTCAGCTAAGCGGCTACTTCATTCAGTTATTTCCCTTGTTAAACTTGAGAAAAGCCAAGAAATGTACAGGGTAAGATGACGTCATCATTTTTTTTCAGGAAAGAATCAATGAAATATGACATCATTTTATCCTGCTCAATTTGTTCTTCTTATTCTATTTATGTGGTAACTGTTGTAGAATCGGTTACTTCGGCTAGGAAAGCAATCAGTACTGATATTGTTTTCACTGTTATATACTAAAGCTGGAAATGTATCAAGCGGTGATCAAAGTACAAAGATCAAGATCAGTGGCAAATGAAATGTAATGGACTTAGGTTTTATAGTAAACCCAAGACGCAGAAACGAAATGTTACTCTATGAACAATTGTTTCTATCCCAGGGACTCTAACATTTGATTTATTCAAAGATTAAGGAAAAATAAAAGATTCAATGATCACTACATTAAATCGCTAACTCACTTTCTAGAGAAAAAGAAATTCAACAAGATGACTTCGCAGCATTTTATTTGACAAAAGCCAGCAAGAGAAACCATGCAACAACTACTCAACAATGGTAAATACTTCCTTTTAGCACAGAAATATATAATATTCATGCTGGATGGAGGTCAGAGACTGGTGTCTCACAACCTTCCTCCCTTTACAGGCTTTGCTGCCGATCAGGAGTACATCGGTTGGGGACTGAACCCTGGACCATGTGCTTGATTAGTCAACCTATGTATGATGTCGCTGGCAATCGACATTCTTTGAAAATCATTTTACTGAAATTTGAATGATATTCGAAGTCTTATTCATTAACTTCTCCTGAAAGTTTAACAAGCCACTCATTAACCTAAAAAGCGATCCGTCGCTGTATCAAAGTTTTATGATATCGTTTCTGTTAGTTAGGCAGTGAAGTTTAATCAACAATTCTGTTTTTTATTGCTTGACCTGATTTTTGTTAAAACTTGTCCTGAAGGCTTAAATAGTCCTGAGGCGTGTGCAAAACACTAAGCAGGTCTTTTCAAAAGAATTTACAACGACAGTGGCTAAAACCATTTTCTTCAAAATCATCAGTTTTATTATTTTTTTAAAAAAAGGAAGTAACTTCCAGTCAATAACAGAAATTAAAATAAGGATAATAATGTGCTAACGTAGTGACAATATAGACCATTTATAATAAACATAGACCAAAAAGCTGTTAAATTTGAACTAAGAGTAATGGACAAACACCAGGATGGTATATGTTGGACGGAAGAATAGGAGATACAGAGAGAGAGATTCACCGAATAAAGTAAATAATTGGACAACAAAAACGAAATAATTAAAATGTAAAATGCTGAGAAGAAACAGATTACAATAGGTACGTGTGCATATACGATAGGCAACCATGCAAATAGAAAATGAGAATATATATATATATAACGTATAATCTGTAATGTTTGCTCTTAAAGTTATTAAAGTATGGAGATTACAAAATGTGAAAGAATAGATACTGTCATTATTATGTTAAATATATAAAGATATGAACGACAAAGAAAGCAAAAGTATTTATCATTGAAATAGGAAACAATTACAGCACAGCACCTTCAATTGTGAGAAAATAAAAATATGAATTGAAATAAAAAGTAAAAGAGAGATCGGGAAAAAAATTACAAATGTATGCACCATAAATCATATGTAAGTTCTTGAAATAATAGAAGAGAGTATAAAAAGCAATAGAGTTGGACAGGAGTATATGTATATATATGTTATGTATACCAACATACTTGCAGAAATATGTACTGTTAGTCAGATCGATCATGGGTAATCAATTCCACGTATGTAAACTTTTGCATGCATATATATATATATATATATATATATATATATATATATATATAACACGTGAATAAATGCTATAGACAATGGAGAGACTAGTATTTACTAGAGTGAAGACAATATACAATAAATTTATATATAGCGAGGAATAATTTGTCCTGTCAACAAACGGAATACTGAGGTAGGCATCGTTCTGATGTGTATCTACGTTGTGTTTTTTAAAAATAAAACGGCAAAATAAAATGTATGTATTAATAATTTGAAAGAAGCCAAATTCTTATAAATATTTGCACCAAAGTTATAAAAATCAATATATGCACCTGGGAAATGATTGTTCCTGTAAATGTATTTAAAAAATCCAGAACAACTTATGCAATTATTCCATTGTACAAAAGAGACACTTATCACCAATGATATTCTTGATTGTAGTGGAATAAACTATGGGCCTTACTGTGGGAAGTGGTAATACGGACATATCCTAGAATTTCTGGATCTCATGGATGATTTATGTCTGTATGTCTCACTAACTTGAAGATTCACGAGCAGAAATCGACAAGTTAGCAGAGGAGGCAGCGAAGATTAGGCACGATTGTGGATATCAAACCCAGCGAGAATCGGAAAAGTGAGACTGGCTTTCATAACTCTGAAATAAGTGTGGATACCTACAACACCCACAATAAGGAACAAGATCCGAGGTTTTAACAGTAATCTCAAGTCAGTGATCTTTTCTATGTGGTTCAGAAACTTAGTGCACTCGTTACGAAAGGCATTTCTAACACGTTAATGAATAATTTCATGAAGACCTGAAATTCGCACAATTTTCAAGATCTCATGATGGGTCGGGATATAAGCAACAAGCAAGTTCGGCGACGAACCAACTGATAAACTATTGCTCAACAAATATGCAAAAGGAGATGGACTGGACATATGCATTGAGGAGACCTTAGAATGACAACATATGGCATGTTCCAGAATGGAACTCCAATGGGAAGCGAGGGGTTGGACATGGAGGGAAGCATGCGGAAAGGAAAGCCGTGGGACCAGATGAAAATGAGAGCAAAGAAAACAATACGGTGGATACGTGCTGACGAACCCCTATGTCACAATAGGAATAGAAGGAACGAATAATAGTAATAGAATAAACATTAAGTAAAAGGTATACAATGCCAGCTTCAATACATATCAAAGAACATGTTGGAGATAAACACTGACAAGGTGAATTAAGTTATGCTGGCCATGTATAATAGAATACGATATAGCGGTTTTTACACTTATGTTCCTTTACACCACTTTAAGGTTTTACACCTACAGATATTTTACGTCAGTTTGAGCATTATCGAAAAGACTTCATTTAACTCTTCATAATTTATCCAAATTCGCACTTTATACATATATGCATACGCTATGCTTTATACTACAGGATTAGATAACGAATATTTATCAACTATTAAAATACAACTTTGAATTTTTAGAGGTAGGCTTTTAATACGCGATAACTACTAGTAGTACATGAATTAAGGAAATGCAATATTGAACTCATACTACCAATGCAACTAAGCAATAACACCAATGCGGTGTGAATTGATCGTAAGCGAAACACACTTAATGTCGAAATGCAATATGGTAGTGACACCATAAAAGTCAATATTCAAGTCTGTAGAGCATATATCTAATGGACATACACAATATTTAGTATGAAAAAAAAATTAACCAAATAAATTCAGGTACGTATTACGACACAAAATCTTCGTCAGATTAAATTCATACAAAATACTCGAGACACAAAAAACATTTCTCGTGAATAGATCTTTATCACTGTGTTCTGGACGTTTGAATAACTGGTAAACGCTTCTTATATTTAATTAAACACAATAACTGTTTTATTGGATTTAGAGACCTAGCGCGTCACTAAAACCAACAGGCTATTAAAGACTTTTATCGACAGCTGCAGACCTCGCCACACTCTACCAAACAACTAGACACCTATCGGGCAAAAGTTCGACACAGATTAAGCCAGTAAGGGATGACAATGGAAAGTCAATCACCAAAGAAGTGGAACAAAGAAAACACTGGGCTGAACACTTCAAAAGACTTTTAAATCGACCGCCACCTACGACGCGCCCAACAATACGAACAACGGAAGCAGAACAACCAGTGAACATCGACACCCCGACGAAATCAGAGGTCCTGAATGCAATCAAGATGCTAAAAGCTAGGAAAGCACCAGGACCAGATGGAATCCCAGAAGAAGCATTGAAAATGGACCCAGGGACAACAGCGGACTTGATGACACCACTACTGGAGAAGGTGTGGAAAGAGGGCAAAGTACCTGAGGATTGGAAGAAAGGATACTTATTCAAACTGCCAAAGAAAGGAGACTTAAGTCAATGCAAAAACTGGCGCGGAATTATGCTCCTGTCCATCCCAAGCAAAATACTAAGCCGCATCATCCTGGAGAGAATCAGACAAGCCCTGGATGAAAAACTTCGACTGGGACAGGCTGGATTCAGGAGAAACAAGACATGTATTGATCAAATCGCCACTCTACGGATCATCATTGAACAAAGCTTGGAATGGCAGTCACCTCTCTATCTCAACTTCATCGACTTTGAGAAGGCTTTCGACAGCGTCGATCGAGAGGTCATCTGGCAACTACTTCGCTACTACGGGGTGCCATCGACAATTATACATCTCATCCAACAGTTATACGACAATGCTGCATGCCAAGTAATCCACAACGGGGAACTTACGGAAGCCTTCAAAGTAAGGACGGGAGCGCGACAAGACTGCCTACTATCACCAATGATCTTCCTGATTGCAGTAGACTGGATAATGCGACAGACAACGGGCAATGAGGAAACAGGCATAAAATGGACTCACACAAAAAGCTTGGAGGATCTGGACTTCGCCGATGATATATGTCTGATTTCCCACAAACCAGATGATATGCAAGTGAAAAGCAACAAGTTGGCAGAAGAAGCATCCAGCGAAGATAGGACTTCAGGTGAACATAGAGAAAACAGAGGTGATGAAGATTCCTGGCCAACATCAACAGACAACAACCAGCATAAATGGGAGGAACCTGAAAGAAACAGCCTCCTTTACCCACCTGGGAAGCATCGTTTCAACTACAGGCGGAACTGACGAGGATATCAAAGCCAGAATCGGAAAAGCAAGACAAGCTTTCATTACTCTCAAATCTGTATGGAGGTCAACAGCACTCCGAATCAAAAATAAGATCCGGATTTTCAACTCCAATGTAAAGTCAGTGCTACTATACGGATCAAAGACTTGGCCAGCGCGTCATAAAGAGCATCTCAAACAAACTTCAGACCTACATCAACAGTTGTCTTCGCTCAATACTCAAGGTCAGATGGCCGGCCAGAAAAAATCAGGAACAGAGATCTCTGGGAGCGAACCAATCAGGAACCGATTGTGCAAGAAATATGCAGGGAGGAATGGAGTTGGATTGGCCATACTCTGAGGAAACCATCAAGAGACCACTAGACAAGCCCTCGCGTGGGACCCGAAAGAGAAGCCCGAGTTGGTCGTCACTGTGCGGGTGACTTGAAGGAGGTCATTTGAAGATGAGAAGAAAGCGTGTGGGCAGACCTGGAGCGGGGTGAAAAAGTTGTCAGGAAACAGAAGGCAATGGAGGTGCGCAGCTGAAGCCCTATGTTCCTCTAGGAACTAAAGGATACAATAATAATAATGATCGACAGCTGCTTCTGCTGCATACTGAAGATGAGATGACGAGAAAAGTTAGGCAACAAGGAACTATGAGAATGAACCAACCAAGAACCTGTTGCTCAATAAATATGCAGGAAGAAACGGAGATGAATTGGACAAAAGCACTAGGTAATTAATTTTTTGCGAAAATTTAGAGAAAGACAGGTGACATCACAAGCAAGGGCTTTGAGTGGGATCTGAACGAGAAGCGACGTATTGGGCATCCGACGGCGACGTACGGAGATCACGTCAGGAGTAGATGAGAGTTTATGAGCGATCGTGGAGCCAGCTAAAGAGGACTGCATAGAGCAGGGCGAGGAGGAGATGTGCTGCCAAGGCCTTATTTTCCACTTGGCGGCAAATAGAATCATAATAATGATAATACAGTTCACCGAACAGAACTGCTTTTTGGAAGAGGTGAAAGAGACATTTAGCCAAGGAAATTCAAAAACAAACAAATTTCCCTGAATTTAGATTTAATCGTCTTTTGTTTCGTGACTAACTACTTACTTCTCCGACTGAAGTAGCTAGAAGTTGTACAATCCTTTCATGAGATACCGCGACTACGCTTTCACCGTTAATTTCAATAATTCTATGATCTACACGTATTCCACCTCGTTCCGCAATACCACCACGTAGAAGACTGCAAATCACACCATCTTGAACGCTAAATCCGAGTTGGAAATTTAAACTTGGACGTCGAATAAGTACTTCAACAACAGGTGGGCAATTGATAACCATTAATTTGACAGTTGTACAACTTCGACAATTCTGTGAATTATAATAAACATTAAATAAAAATAATTACTGAATATATAATTCTTGGGAAATAAATATAAAGTGAAAGAATACAAGATAGACACTTATACTGATGAATAAGTTGTGTAATACAACACAACAGAACTACACGTTTAGTTTTGAAATTACGATACAACTAGACATATACATCAAATAGACTAATCTATCCAAAAGATAGTATGCTAAACATTTACAGGGCCTCGTATATCACCACAGACAGTAAGTAATACATTTAGCACATAAAATGATCAACGAAAACCTTGTCAACAAATTAGTTCAGTAGCACAGCAAAAATTAACAAGTGGAAGATGATATGAGAGAAATGCAACACACTGAGCAAGCACTAATCAACCCAAAATACCACATTAAAACATCTTAGATAAAATACACTGTTGTAGGTGTCCAAATACATCCGTTTGAAGCATGAATCCCTAAGAATTTACCCCTATATCGCGTAAATACACAAAAAGATGAAATTAAGCCTCATCTCACAGTCGCATAAATTATCATTCAGAGCAATCATTACACAGAAAAGCATCAGTTTATTATTATTAAGAAAAACAGCGTAGAAAGACAAGCAGTAAAAAGTGAATTGAGGACAAGATTTTAATTTCCTAAATCATACAGTGTTGTACAGTAATACTAACTGATGACGGTTCGAGCACAAACTATTGCTCATAAAATCATATTAAGTTACTCACACAACTTTTCCCTTTCATTTATATACATGTGTGGAATCGATTAGATATTGGAATAAAATTCAATATGAGATAATGTACATTCAGAAATAATAATAATAATACGAGTGATATTGATCAATTACAGTTAGATGGGAAATAAGACGAGTGTTTTATAGTCATCATAAGTTGCTTGTTAGAATGTTGTGATGTGTTTGAATTGAAATAGAATTTTAAGATTATTTATTATCCTCTTCTGATTTGACCGGCGGTAATAATATCTTCCATATTTCTGGTATTTGCATTGAGTCATTTCTGTTGCATGTGTTGGGTGTAGACTCGATGAACCAGGATTCAGTAATCAACGTCTCTCTCCATCTACCTAGATTATTTTTTAGAATTTTAACCCTCTCCCACACTATTGTGTGTTAATGCGTGAAGTGCGATTGCTGAGCATTTTTCTAAATTACTTATCTTTTCCGGGTCAACCATTCTTCCCTTAGCTAAATTCTTATATTCTGACAATCTGACTGACTACCCCCCGACCTACTAGTTTGACCTATGTAGTTGACCTCACAGTCATTGCAGGGTATTTTGTAAACTATATTATTTTGTCTAATTGGGTCAACTGGGTCCTTTAACCTACAGAGCTTGTCCCTGAGTGAGTTTGTAGGTTTAAATGCCACCCTAATCCCTATTTTATTCAGAATCCTACGTAGTGTCTCAGATTTCCCCTCTTTATATGGTATAACTGTGGATGACTTATATTCTTTCTTATTTATGTTATTATTACTAGTTTCACAATTATTTTTATTTTGTTTTTGGCCTTTAATGATCTTCCTAATGAATTTTATAGGATAGTTATTCAACACCAACGCTCATGTTTTAATTCATCATTTAGATCTTTTTTTGTGCTACTTAGTGCCACTGCTCGGTTTGTTAAACATTTAACTAAGCCTGCCTTAACAGTTAAAGAATGAGACGAATTTAAGTCTAAATATCTATTAGAATGTGTTGGTTTTCTATAAACACAAGTGTGTAGTTTGCCTTCTTCTATTCTTTTTATCATACAATCTAACATAGCTAATTCTCCTTGTTCATTTCCTGATTCAAATGTGGATTTTATTCCCTCAACTTGTGAGTTTATATGTGTCAAGAAGCTAGAGATGTGTTCTGTTTTTAACACTGTGAAAGTGTCATCCACATATCTCCACCATATTTTCGGAGTAGGGTTAAATGTTTTAAGAGCAATATTTTCCCAGCTGTCCATAAATATGTCTGCTACGATAGGGGATATTGGTGATCCCAATGCTACACCTTCTGTTTGTCTATATATTTTGACTTGGAACTTAAAGATAGTAGATGTGAGGCATAATTGAATCCCTAACATAATTTTTATTCAATGGGCAGCTTTGTCCTATGGTTGAGTTCATGATGGGAAAGGTGACGGAATATCTTGATTTTTTTTATTTTGAATGTAAATTTATCTAGTTTTTTAAACAACTGCTGTTTTAACCCTATAGCGGAAATATCCATTGAGATATTTAGAAGATAAAAGAAAACTTGAGCAAACAATATTCTTTTAGATGAATTCCTCTTTTGCCTCAGCAATTATTTATGCATTTATATACTTAAAATGTTCTAGAATAGTCGTCATTAACTGTATTGATATTTTTCTAAAATAATATCGAATTTTTAAGATCAATGGAATTGTAGGTCAAGAATAACGCTTAAGTTATAAGCATAAAATGTAATAGTAATTACAATATCAAATAAATTTGAGCGAGTCTAAAGAACAATTTAGGATCATCAGAACCTTGGTGGACAGGGTAAGCAAAGTGTCTGGACCAAATTCTTTGCAGTACACAAGTAAGGCTTCTTAATGTGGATTTCGACATCCTCTGTAATATGCAACACACGAACTCGACGTCGGTATACGGCGAAATGGCAATGAAAGCCTTGTTAACATCAATCTTGTGTTCTGTATCCACAAGATGAGAGAGTGTAGAACTATGAATGGACTTTTTCATCCTCTACACAGCAGGACTGCGTTCGGAAATCTGTCGACTAACATGCCTGATAGTACGCCCTGTGTCACTGACTCTACTGGAGCAGTAAAATTAATAGATATACATAGAGGAGGCAGATTTAGCTAGTTTATCTTTAACTGCCAAACGCAAAGCAAGAGTGGTTTTTAAGAGATAGTGGCAGTGCTCTTTTTACCGCATTCCTCAAGCTTTATGTTATATTTTCACTGGTGTTATGACGGAGGAACTGAACTTGTAAGAACAAGGCCTTTTACGGAACTGCGTGTACTTTGGCCTGGCTTGACTTTTGAATCATATTCTTATCGATGCATTTTTTTGGGTAACTCCTTAGTTTGTAAGCAGTTCAAATAAATCAATAAAAAAAGATGAGTAGTTTAAATTTGACCTTTTCCCCTCATTATAACTAATTCGTAAGTGGGTGAAAGTTTAATCATCTTGAATACTACAATTATGTGCATAGCATTAGTGCATGCAGTTAACTGACTTATCAATCACTTGGATCACTTGGACAAACCAAGGAAACAGATGGAAACTGCTTGACTATTTTTAATTGTAAATCTTTGAAAGTTACTTTAAACATCAGTCACAACAGTGGAGAGAACCAGACTATGTAGATTCCTATAAGGATATACAAATTTTTGATAGAGGGAACAAGTATTTTCTTTAGGAGAAATAATTTTGAATTGAACACAACAGTACAGGCGTAGCAATACTTTACTTTATCTTGGTCACAGTATCACACTTATTTATTTCAAGTTTATTATTAAGTCTGATAGTGTTTTCTATAAAACTTTCGATCATAGTGTTTCAGTATTTTGTCTTTTCTGATACCGTTTCCCCCTGCTTATTGTGAAGACAAGAAGCATGGCAATTTAAGGATCCTAACCAGCATTGACTTCACTATATTAGTTGATAAAATATAATGATATCTTTAAGTTTCATCACAAATTGATATCAGCTTGAGAACCATCGAAGACTGGGGAGTACTAGACAGTCGTTTCTTAATAGTCGGGAACTCTTCATCACTTCGCATCCATGACCTCGATAAGGATCTAATCTAGGACCTCAAGGTCAGATGATGGGTCATGAATTCTATCTTCTGCAAACCGGCGGTAAATAGCACGACTGCCAGCCAACATCATCGGTATTTGTCCTCGTATCCGATCAGGTGGAACCTATTGGTCACTTCTCACCGAAACTCCAAGCAATTCCATCTTTTAGTCAGTTACATTAAAATTTATACATACAGCAACCGTCTATGATAAAATACAACTAACCTTAATTATTTGTTGACATGTTAAAAGTGGTAGTCCGACCAAACTTTGTCCATTTATGGCTACAATTTGATTGCCAATATTAAGTTGACCACATCGGGCGGCTGGACCAGTTGGATGCATATTTGCTAATAAAGCCGTTGGCAGTAAACTACCCCAACCTGATTCAACAATAACAACGCCTAATGCTTCACCTTTTTGTTTAGGTATAGTTACCTAAAAACAAATGTTATGCGAAAAATCCACTTAATGGTAAATATACTTATAAATGTTATATTCTAATAATTTTATAAGGGTGTGGTATTCTTTAATAGTAATGATAATGATCATAATATAATAGTTACAAAAATGACTAATTTTAGGAAGAGATAACTTTCTGTGTAGTCTAAATACACTAAATAAAGAAAAAACAATAATCAATTTTAAGCTGCTCTTCCAAGACAGTTTTTTCAATGCTATCAAAGTGTTCCTTACTAGTTGAAATAAACCTGAAGTCAAATTTTCATGGGGATTTGTAGAAATGATGAATTTATGACAGAAATCAATCTAAAATACTACTTTAAGGAAAAGGTAGTACCATTTTTTGTGTGAACCGACACAGGTTGTACAAATAAAGTGGTAAGAGATGAAAAAGTTTCTTTGGTTGTTAGAAAAATTTAGTTACTACATACGATGGAATTACCCAGGGTTACACATAAAATACATTTTTCGGAAGATGAAAGATAGGCGAAACATATGTGACAAGAATAACTGAATTAATAGATGTCTTATTATACTGGTAATGGTCGCTGCACTGCATATTATTCGGGACTGGCCACGCGACTCACCGATTGCTTTACTTGCGTATTTTCCATTATGCATTCTTTATGTAGATATAGATGTCACCCTGAAAAATATCTAGGTTTTCTAAAACCATATTATCTTTGAGAGAATAAAAATTCAATTTTGTCATTCTAATTAACTATATATGCAGTGATTGGAGATTGTTTGTTGCAACTGTCAATTGTGTTAGACTAGATTACGACTATTTAACTAAATTACAACACAGTACAATTAACTACATGAACTCGGTGCTAAAATATTTTGCGATAACCAAGTATCATATTAGACCCAATACCCTCAAAATAATAGTTATGAATGTATTATGTACGCATTTCACTCGTTAAATACTTTCAGTGATGAGTGTATGCGAAAAATTTGTGTTTAGACTAAGTATACTGAGATATGCGACTGTTTTAACCAACGTACTTAAAAATTCAATGCTTAATAACAATATTGGTAAACGCTCAGTTCATTTAAATAATGGCAACCACTGCTGCTCGTCTGTCAGTGATGCACACTATCCTCATTTTTGTTAATTTCATCATGCGTGTATTGGTGGGATTGAGTCTAACTGACTTTAGCCACTAAGAGATTCACTTGTTACCACGGCACAGTCTCGTCGACTTAGATCATGCGAATAACATTGTCATACTAGGTGAATACAATGACAACATGGAGAGTCTTCTGAGCAGTTTGAGCAGACATTTTCAAATGTTTAGCATGAGACCCAGATACTACAGGACTGGACTACACCGACTCCTAGTTTGAAGACAAGGAGTTAAGTGGTTTAGCATATTGACCAATTCACTTATATGCATTCACCGTTTGTGAACCTGCGTACCCATTAAACCCTCATAGTTTCCCATGTTACTATTCTTTCCCCATATATTTCTGCTTATTACAGTTCCTTTGAATTTCCACTTTTCTCTATTTCCTTACCCTTGTGTGCTAAATGGTGCGGTTTTGTGTAAAGTTCGATGTTGAAACTCAGATAGTCAGTCAATTGCTCAATCCAATAATAATAATAGTAAGACAACTTACATCTCTGAAAGAGGTAACCGAAGTGTTAACATTATCGCACAGATGATAGTAAAAATGAAATGAATAATAAAGGTCTACTTGTTTTGCCTAATTTGATATCAAATGTTAACATTCAGTTGACAGGATATCACTACGTCTTTTTCTGAACTTTACTTCGTGTACAAACCTGTGGCCAAATTGTGTGCTGTTACGTTTGCACCTCCGATGCCTGCTAGACAATTTATTCAATATATTAAGGGAGTAAGAGATTTTTTTACCACCTCTCATCTCCTTAATGATATAAATGTAAGGTTAGTAACTAATAAGAGAGATTCGAAGTTTACATAAACTCAAAAGCTAATGTATATATATATGTGTCTATTACGATACAGAGTTCCTTAAGTTATCCTGTTAAATAGACTAACTTTTTTCATAACTTTAAAAAAGGAGAGGTAAGAAAACGAAGAACAGATAAGAAACATTAGAAAAAGTTGATAAATAGAAAAAGTGGAAATCAGACGTCACTTTTTATATATTGAGTGAAATGTCAATTTTTATTCAAATCACTAGGACACTAGGATAGAAGCTGATTTATTTCGTTTATTACAAATCTCATATAATTGAAGCAATTTGCAATCCTACATGCATATGGAGCTTAAAAATAAGTGCTGAGGTGGAGTGGCGTGTTACTGATGAGAATTTATTACTAGTTTACTGTAAAATTTTACTCCAAAAATTTCGAATAGTGAGGTGACGGATTGGATTCACAAAAGAAGCAATGAAAGATCCTTGTATAACAACACAAAAAGTATGAAAAGAAGATGTATAACTTGTGCAAATGGAAACTTCAATGTAATGTTTCTGTATTTAGTCTTCACTTTATTTCATTTCCCAAATAAACAATTCTGCTAAAATGTTCTGAAAACACTATCTTACTTATTAATCAACTATTTCTCAATCCAATAACATACCCTTAATCACCGTGTACATATAACATCAGGTTACCCTGCTGAAATCGTATCAAATTTTTATTTATAAATGATAACGCATACAAGGAACAAATAAGTAGCTGTATTGTCTTCTGATATCGAGTCTAGTAAGGAGTGTTCACTTGTTTCAGGCAGTCATTACTTGGCCATATAATCGCTCACAGTGACAGACTATCCAGTTGAGTTAAATTCTACTAATCAGATACTTGATCTCTCATATCCAATGATTTATGTCAAGTGTCACTTTATGTAGTCGAAGACCAAAACGTTGGCAGCAGAATCAGTGAAAACAGGACTACAGGGGAACATAGATAAAACAGATGTGATGAAGATGTCTAACCAACAATAACAGGGACAAATCACTGTCAACAGGGGAAATTTGAATGAGGTCACTTCTTCCACTTATCTAGACAACATCGTTTTAACTATAAGCGACACGGATGAAGATGACAAAACCAGGATCGGAACGGGAAGACAGATACTGTATACTCTGCAATCCAGTGTGGAAATCTGCTGCATCCAAAATGAAGAACAAGAATCGGATTCCCACCAGCTATGTCGAGTCAGTTAGTGCTTCTATATTGGTCACTGACTTGGCGAGTCACCAAAACTATTTCCAACATGTTATTGCAGACTTTCATCAACAGCTGCCTTACTTCAGTACTGACGATCAAATGGCCAGGAGAGTATAGCAACAAGGAACTCTGGGAACGAACCAGTGAAGAACCTATTACCCATCAAATACGCCTAGGGAAATAGAGATTGGTTGGACATACTCTGAAAAGACTGTTGGTTGAAATCATGCACCACGCAAGGCACCAAGTGGAACTCGAGTGGGAAACGGCGAGTTGGGTGTCGAGGATGACAGGGGGAGGTTGTGTTAGGGGGAAATTGAAGCTTATGGGCAACCATGGAGCCAGATGAAGAGGACTACAGAGAGCAAGGCGAGATAGAGATGTGCTTCTGAGGCCCTATGTTTCACTCGGGGCCAAAGAGAATAATAATAATGCAACGTTAAATATTTTTGGCTATATGATTGAAATTTCGACAGTTCAATGAACACGAAAGAAAAAGAAAGGTAACCACACAAATTTAACAAATTATATATGTCGAAAGTGTACTGTATAATGTTAAAGTAACGTGCAGTTTCTTGAATTAAAAAGGAAGAAAAACATCATTAACCTACCTCTTTATGATTATCTTTATTACAAAATAATGAAAGTTCATCACAAAATATTTCTTGTTGTTTTAAGACATTATCATAATCTAACTGCTTTATAATACCTACATCTTCAACTCCATTTTCTTTAAGAAAATCTAGATAAGCAAGTTGAAATGCATGTCCAACTGTTTGCGCAATTAACTGAGCCTGGATTAACAAGAACAAAAAATTAAATTCAAAGTTAATTGGTAAAAATATCACATAATAAACAACTGTACACAATAATTTACTACAGCATTTATGCGCATGCTTTGTTTGCATTACTTAACTAGTTATTAACAGGAGAGAAAACTGCAAAATATTATTCAAAAAACAAGCAAAAACATGCACTTTCTGCAAGACAAGGTATGACGGTTTGCTACTTCTTCTCGTAGTTATCCATTTCACCGATCCTCAAGAGCCAGTTATATCGTTCGTCGTTCTACAAACCTTCCCATGATATTAAATACTTCAGTATGAATTTGGAGGCGCTGCTTTAAGAGGCTCTCGGGGGTGCTATATTGGCTCTCAATCTTATTCGTGGTCACAGAATGAAATGAAGATGACTGACCAGCCTGTTGAATAGTACTGACAGTAGCTGGGAAGCAAGATGATGATTGCAACAGGGACAAAGGATGATGATGATCAAGAGGGCCTTGTGTGCTTTTGGAGGTGTGTATGCGTTTATTATTTCCCGGCTGCCCACACTGTGGAATTTGGTTGAGTTGGTGTTGAGTGACATAGCCCAGGGGTTAACTGCTACAAGCTCATCACTAATGGCATGTTTGAACTGACTTTTTGGGTTGGTTCTGTATAAATTACTAACTGTCGGCTACGGATCACCGTAAGGTAAGTCGAGAAGTATAAATTTTGGGGTCAACCTTTTCTAACCCCTTCTCTCCAGAGTGGAAAGACAGCATAGCTGGCATGCTGAAGGAAACACATTACTGCTGTTACATCCCTATTCCCCAGCAGTATAAGTCCGCCCACAGACACTCATCATAGTGCAAACAAAAATCTTACACTATGCCGGTGACTGCTTGTAGTGTAATCACTATCCTTATAATCTTCTTGACATGGAAGGACCTACAGGAACATTAGTTACAGCCAGTCTATCTTGTTTGGCCATTGAGATATGCTAACCCGACCACCACGTCAAGGTAGCAGTTATATTAATTGTAATAATCATGTGGTTTTGATTGATGTGTGTACACAGGAAAACAGATGACGTAAATGAGTGTGATGAGTAAGTTTTTTTTTCATTGTTCTAATTAGGTTGGACAAGAATATTTTAAAGACTGTGTAAAATGTATCAAACAAACAAACCCAAAGATTAGTACATTTGGTGGATTAGGTTGAGTAAGTCAATTCACCAAACCCAACATATTACAGAGACTTCATACGATTATTTCCCTTGGTAAACTTGAACAAAGCAAAAGCACATTGAGCGTGATAAAATGACGTCATTATATTTCGTTAGCACCTCAACGTGTTCCTCCTTCTTTGTTCATATATTATAGAAAATTACGTGGAACAAATATTTTGTATTATTTCAACGTGAAAGTTATTTTTAAAAATTGTCCTTTTTACTTTTGCAGGCTGAATGTCAACGTCGAGTTCGTGAAGGCAAGTTTACGTATTGTTGTATTTTTTTGTGTCTACATATATACCAAATAATTCCTTATTAAGGTATTTATTTAATTGTCATTTGACATTGATATAGTTTGTATATCAAAAGTAATATGAATAATTATTGTCTTGAGATCAGTCTTATTTCCATTTTGAAATGACACTTTGCTGACAGTACGTGAAGATCTTCAGAAAAGTTAAGTTCAGATTACACTGGTTTCAGGTGTGGTAACCAAAAATAATCCCAAACTATAATTTCTTCTCAAAAGAAACGTGTCCGTTTATTATGATTCGTCGCCACCATCATCGTTTGATTATGATTTTCTCAGTTCAACAAAGAGTACTGTCTATCTGCTGGCCTTATGGTCAAATTTCCTCTTATATCAACGTATATTATGCAGTAATTTCAAAATTTAGAATCTGAAACTGACATGGTATGACAGACGTTGGTACTAAATATATCTAAGCATGTCATTATTTATCTTGTTAGTACAGGCTAGTTATTGTATACGCCACAGGAGGTGCATAGGAGTCTTTTGTCAACGACTTCAAATACTGTGAGCAGTTGCTGAAGTCATTTCTTATGGGAAAACAAAGTTTTATTAGTCTTGGATTTGGTTGATCTTAGGTCACAATGCTGATCTCTTTAAGTACATCCATTCACTACTTTAATTCATTTTAACACCGGGGAGTATACACTAAGAACTACAAACTATTTACGTAGATTATTTATGCCAGCTAATTGCGTGCAACAAATCACAAACAAAAACGATGTACTTTAGATTGTTATATACTGTAATATCACCTAATGAGTCCAGCGGGATTCAGTTGTATGACTTAAAACGTGTAGTAAATAATGAGTATGCACCTTGATATAGATGTATATAACTCCGTAAAAAGTTTCAGCATTGTGGATTAGATCAAATAAAGTATAATTATATTTCAATAGTTTATACACAATGATAAGTTTTGTTATTGGTAATATTTCGAGCAAAATTACCAATAACAAAATTTATCATTGTGTGTAAACTATTGAAATATAATTATACTTTATTTGTATATAACTCCATTCGTTTCTCTAAAATCTGTGGGGGTCATCATAAAAGAATTTCAAATAAGTAAAAAGTATTATCAAATAAAAATAGAGTTTACAGTCAACTAAATATTTCGATCACTGATACATCAAGCAATATGAAACTAATGGATCACTTCACCTTTAGGATCATTTAGATTCATCACAAAATACGAATAATATACCAATATTATAACCTTGAGTTGGTTCGTTGTGGTCTGTGTTCTTAATTAGAGAAAGCCAGGAATTTTGGTAATTATGTGATAAAAATAATTTAATAGCAACTAAGATGGGGAAAAAACTTCACAGACCAATCAGAAGCCGTAGATAGTATGCAGTGTCTCCGAACCAACTGTGATCTAGTTGTGTTGCTAAAACAACCACTCCTGAATACATCAAAAACGCTTTTCAACACGTTAAACCTCGCCTACATAACTAGCTTCTTAGTCTTTTAGCCGGTCCCAAGGCTGGGTGGAGAGGGAGGGTTGGGCATGGGGCTAGCAACCTCACACCACTAAACTTACCAAACCTCTAGAGAGACTGAAGCGCACACAAAATGTATTAACAATACAAAAACTTCAAATGACAATCTTATTCTTCGCTGGAATCGGAGAGGCGAAATGACGCGGGCTGGTGAAAGCCTTTGAGAAGCCAATCAGCCAGCCAATGTGTCTTCTCTCGATTGAAGGAATAGTAGGAATAGGGAAGTGGGATGTCCGTAAAATGTACGAGACTAGGAAGGCTGCTCAGGTAACCAAAGAAATGCGAAGATATGGCTTAGAAGTACTGGGTATCTGTGAGAGTAGATGGAATGGATGCAGATTCTCGAAGTTGTCAACTCGAGAGTCAGTAATCTCCTCCGCTCTGGTCACCCAGACGACAACCAAGAGCACACTGAGGCAGTGAGTGGCTATCATGATGTCATCAGTGGCAGCCAAAGTTCTAATGGAGTGAAAACCGATTTCACCCAGGATCATGACGTCAAGATTCAACTCAAAAGGGAGGAAGGTCACAATTATCATGCAATGTTACGCGCCTGCAAACAACTCGAAGCAAGAGAAGAGGGACGATTTATACAGACAACTGCAATCAGTAATGGACAACACCCCAAATGGTGATATCAAAAGCCTTATGGGTGATGTGAATACAAGACACACTGGGAGCAGATAATACAGGAAGAGAACTTATCATGTGTCGAGAGGCTCTGGGAGAAATGAATGACAATGGAGAACTCTTCTCAGACTTCTGCAGTTTCAGTGACCTGGTGATCGCGGGCAGCGTGTATAAACACATATACGCATATACACAAAGCAACATGGATTTAGCCTGACGGACATGCGACAAACCTGATAGATTTCATCCCCACACTACTCAAGGAAGTGGAGACGCAGCTAGCATGATGGACACAAGGTCGAGAAGGGGAGCAGGTGTGGGCTCAGACTATCATCTAGTTCACAGTGAAGCCGAAATCCTTGAAAACAACTGGAGACAGACCACAATTCAAATTCAACATTCAGAAACTAAAGGACAAAACCACAAGAGATGCCTTCACTTCAGGTTAGATCAGAGCAAAGTCGAAGACACTACGTGTTATCACCGAGGAAACCTGGGTGGAAGAACATTGGAACTTTCTGAAAGCGATATTCAAGGAAATGTGTACAACTATTCTAGGAAGAAAAAAGAGACAAGACAAGGAATAGTTCTCAACATATACCTGTAAGCTAATCGAGGAGAGGAGGATGTTGAAAGAGAAAATGACTCAATGCAAATATGGACAACAGAAGGATAAGCTAAGTTAAATGTACACTGCACCGAATAAAGAAGTGAAGAAGAGTGCCAGGAAAGACAAAAGACAATTCTACGACAAACTGGCAATTACAGTAGAACAGGCTGCGGGTAAAAGAGACCTCAGAAAGCCAGGTTTCTATCCGGAAGAGATCAACGCAGATGAAACCCATAAAAGATGGTCAAGGGAACCTACTTAATAAAGAGGATAAACAAACAAAACAATGGTCTGATCACGTTAAAGGACTCTTGAATCGAACATCAACTGCAACTCGGCCAGAAACACTACCACCACCACCAATAGCACGCACATGACTGCCAGTGGGTAGCAATCCTTGAACGAAAGCAGAAATCTCGAATGCGATCAGGCTACTGAATTCCGGCTGCGAAGGCAGCAGAGCCAGACGGAATTCTCCTGTCCCAAAGAACTGAAAACCGACCCACCGACTGCCACAAATGTACTCACGTCATTATTTCAAAAGATTTGTAAGGAAGTAAAAGTACCCAATAACTAGGAGAAAGTCTGCATACCTTGTCAAACGAACAAAGAAAGACGTCTTAGGCATCTGCAAGAATTGGCGTGGAATTATGCTCTTATCCACGCCACGCCAAGTAAAAAACTAAGTGACATCATCCTGGAGAGAATAAAGGATGCACTGGATGCAGCAAATGTATAGTAGAAAATGGAGACGGATAGAGCACGCACTGAAGAGACCGTCGAATCACATCGCGCGTAACGCAAGCCATCGCCTCCAAAGCCTCAGGATGGTCGGGGGTGGGTGTCTTGCGCTGCGGGTTGGCCACCCCTCCGTACACCTCTTGAAATGCTCCCATATGACCGGGCGTCTTACATAGCCTCTCCTGAGGAAGTCCTACTCACTGCCTTCACGTGGCGGAGGTGTTTTTCACCAAAGTGAGAGGGCAAAAGCGGATGCCCGGCGCTCTTCACCGGGTTGACTGTCCATTGGATGACAGTCTAGGGGAGATGGCTAAATCCTGATTCCAAACCTCCAACGACTGGCGTATGAAGCTTACTGGAGCTCACCGGCAGACGTATGGACAAAGGGCTTATTGGATGCCCTGGATGACTGGCCCCATTCAAAAAGGCGAATGAACCGGACTCCGGTCACCGGCTGCCAATGGATAGTGGACTCCTTACTCCACTCCTACTGCCTTGTAGGTCACACTTGGCTGTGTAAAGGCTAGAGCTGCACTCTCAAACAAAAGGCCGAGCGATGCTGGGGACATCACTCGTACCAAATTCCCATGAAACTTCATGGTTCATGAAGCCGGCTCATCCTCCCGTAGGAGATAGCCGAAGTAAAGTAAAGTAAAGTAAGTATCGCTTGAGTGGAATACAAATAAGAAGCGACCAGTGAGTCGTCGGTGTGAGGGTGACATGGAGGAGATCGTGTGAGGAGGAGGTGAGACAGTTTGGTCAGTCGTGGACTCAGATGAAGAGGACCGCAGAAATTAGAAGAAAGTGGGGATATGTTGTTGAAGCCCTATGTTCCACTCCGAACCCAAGAGAACATTCATAATAATATGAACTGAGACTTTTTAGCAATGTAGATTGAGACAGACACCAACAGTTCCAAGTCAAATAATTTACCATGGCCCACCCCACGCCGAACTCTGCTTTAAAAATATGTGGTGAAATTAGGAATTAAAGAATGAGAAGTCGGAGGGTTGATTTGAGTAAATAGAGCAATATAGGAGAATTTCAAAAGCGATGGAGAAAAAATGGTTAAACTCCTACTAGGTGGATTCAATCCTTGCAATCTTTCCGGAACCTGAAAATTTACTCTGGTAATTCAGTTGAGTGCAGTTGATGTAAATACAAAACCAGAAAATTACTAGAATTCCAGACAATGTGCATCTAAAATTATTAACTCTTATGTTATCATAAGCTCATACTATACTCTTAACACAACTAAATACTGCACGAGTGAATAGATGGAAACAGTCGTGAACAAACGTGTACGCGTCTTCATTTTTATAAGGTAATAATAAGCCATTATTGAGCCAATTCACAAAAATTCTTAAACAGATCAAGTGAGTACATTTTATTTGCACCTGCTAATTGGATGACTGTATAAGAACATTTTGTTAGATAGAAGTCAATTATCCGGAATGGACTTTCCATATACCAGGCTGAGCCATACAATGTGCGTATGTGTGAGGACTGGTGTTACTTCTAAGTTGCCAAAGCTAATATATGTAGGGTGGGACACGAACTTAGGACCCACTGACTAAAATTCGAGACCTTAACCATAAGAGTCACATATAAGAACAAGTGGGAAGCTTTTGAAAATATCATACGTTTGTAAGGGTTCACATCATTCAGCTGTAGAGACTGAAATAGTTGGTTTAAGGTATCTGAAGTATTTCATCTTGGTTCAGCAAGCTTAAATACACGCCACTAATAGTTTACCTACTGGTTATATTAATCATATATGTGTGTATATGCAGAACACGAATCTTTATGTAATCTTCTTTTAACATAAGTAATTGATGAATAAATCCTGCTAATCATCAGAGGAAAACCGTCTTAGCATTATAAATAACCGGTGTATGTATAAAACTTGGGCACTGTGATAGAGTATGACTCCATTATAGATAAGATTTTATTTTAATATTATTATGAGCAATAGTTTGTGCTAGAAACGTCATCAGTTAATATTATTGTATAACACTGTGTGATTTATCAAAATTAAATCTTATCCATTATGGAGTTATACATAATCGCTGATAGCATGTTTACCAGAAACAGTTGCATAATAATAATGATGTGTATTACTAGAATTAGACTCATGAAAATAATTATATTTAATGCATTATGAAACAAGGCTTACGTCTGATGATTCAAGTACATGACAAATCATCTTGGTATGCTTTTTCAACTTATCTAACGTTGATCTTGCCGTAGCTGAATTTATCAGCTCTGAAATATTTGAATCCACTGAAGTAAGTGAACGCTGAGAAGGAGTAGAACTATCACAGGTGTTATTGTTATTATTATTGATATTGCCTCCATTAACACTGGCATAATTGACATCTTGGACATCGTCAACTGCTTTATTACTATTATCATTATCACTGGGACTTTCAGAGATATCGGATGGTGTTAGCTCTGGTCGACGTGACATAAGGACAAATAATTCACCAATGTCTGCAATATAAGAAACTGTACGTAAATTGTGATCGATTAAAATATCCTACAAAAGTAAATTAAACAAGAGAAATTGAGATATGTTGTTTTACCATATGTTCACATATTGCCTGAAATAAAACTTTATTATTATTATTAAAAGTAGTTTGTAATAAAGCTATTATTACGTGATAAGTATAAATGTAGATAAATACAGTTTCAAATTAAGATGAGTTAAAGAAACCTGATGAGAAAGATGTTTTGGTAGTCTATAAAGACCTATATGTTTAGTAAAACAATAATACATTTCTTATAGTTGTAATTAAGGTAGCACGAAGCATAAAACAGATGGACAGAAAAAATAGAAAAACAAACAGAAATGCATCAATTTAAGTTACCATAATCCAAAGCAGCACATAGCACACAGACAAACAGTTAATGACTTCGTGGATTAGGGTAATGTTCCAGTCTGTTCACTCCTAACTCATTTTCGAACCTAACCATAATTCACCAAAGATCACTCTTTGAGAAGGGTAAAGCATACTCTAGTCAAACATTTCTTGACTTTTGCCAATATGGAAGGGTAAAACAATCATATATATACATATATATGCTGTGATGGGCAACAGCATTGGATTTGGATTGATTCTTCCTGATACTGAAGTGGACAACAATGCACGACTGATAACTTGAACTGCCACTGAGAAAAGCACAGAAGACAGAGGTTACTGCTCCAGGAAATAGACAATAACTAGAAATTGAAGCTAATTATATAGTTCAGATTATGGCCTTTGTCTAGATTTGAATTTAATTATTTAACGTGACCTAGAAATTACTACTTTAAGACATAAAATACTATATTCTGACTACTGTTTGGTGTACAGATCACGTGAACACAGCTTTATAATGTCTCCTCCTATCCTAAAATTTTATAACTCAGTAATTGTAAACATGTTCGCAGACCTATTAATGCATCAAGTGCTACTAAGATGAGATTAAAATAACAACAAAACTGACTCATAACACTTAAATTTCAAATACGAATAGATAAAATTGTAGTTTAACACTGGGTATAAACTCACTTCAAGATTAGCATTTAATATCATAATGCGTTCAGTAGAAACAAACAATTCAACTGTTACACTCGGCTGAGATTCTTCATCTGGGGCCTATAAATCCAGAAAAGAAGCACGTTTAAACTGAGCAATGAAATAGGTCGTTAAAAAAGCATAAAAAAGATAAACACGATTACCTAGTAGTATGTACCACCTGCGCTTATCCGGGGAGCCTGAGGCGTCGGCATCCGGCGTAGCTGGTGTCGGTGTCGAACTGAGCGATAAAGCCGAAGCTGCATTGCTCGACTGGATTCCTATTAACAGTCGTTTATGTGCTGTGAGGCTAGGTTATACGAAGGTAAGGAGTAGTAGGCCAGATAGGCGGTGTCTATTTGTTGTCTATGCCTATGCACCGACGGATTGCAGACCGAATGCAATGAAAGATGAGTTCTACCACCAAGTCAGCGATCTACTGAAACAGGCGCGTCGGAGGGATATCGTAGTGCTGACTGAGGACTTGAATGCACAGGTCGGGCGTCTAAGCTCAGAGGAAGATCGTCTAGGTCGCAGGTCACATAATGGGGACCGTCTTCTGGAGCTTTGCGTGGATCACAACCTATTTCTAGCTGGCACCAACTTCCGGCACAGCCATCACCGTAGCGCTACCTGGCGTCCTCCCTCTGCGAATCAAGCTTGGACTCAGACTGATCATATTGCTGTCAGTTTCCGGTGGCGAGGATGCATACAAGACTGTCGCTCCTTCTGGAGCACATGCCTGGACTCCAATCATGCGTTAGTGTTCGTCTTGAGATTTGGTGGGGTTCATAAAAGGCGTCGTCTAAACGTTGATCTGAGCGAACTAGTAGCACCTGCTACTTCTTTGAAATACCAGAATGAGTTACAATCAATGCCTGCGAGTGATCCCCCAAGTAGTATAGATGAACATTGGCTTCATCTGCAAGGTGCCATACAAAGGGCGAGTGTAGCCGCTTGTAGCTTGAAAGAATGCTACGCCAAAAACCACTGGGTTTCTGCAGGTTCCTTGCAACTCATGGATGAACGCCGGTCCATTCCGGCTGGCTGTGAATACAACAATAAACGAAAGGCGCTTACGCGTAACATATGACTGTTTAGGTAAGGACCGCGAAGCCTGGTAGTCAGAACGTTCGTATGAGGTGGAGTCAGCTGATGCATCTGGTAACAGTCGGAAGCTGTTCCAACTCATCCGAGCCACCGGCAGCAAGAAAAAAGGTGTCAGCGAGACGGTCTGTGAGGCTGATGGCACACCTATTACCAGCTTAAAAAAGACGAATGGAACGCTGGGTAGAGCACTTCGAGAAACAGTTTAGCTGGCCACCAGCTTCAGTATCTGCTATCACTAGCTCCAGTGCACCTAGGTTGGTTAGTTCCGACCCACCAACGGAAGCGAATGTCCGTAAGGAACTCCAAATGTTAAAACGCCATAAGGCACCCGGCCCAGACAAATTACCCCCGGCTCTTTTTAAAGATGGTGGTGAGACTCTCAATGGCTATAACTGGATTATTCAGGAAGGTATGGGAAACTGAGAGTGTACCATCAATGTGGAACGAAGCCATTATCGTCCCCATCTTTAAAAAGGGTCGACGTAATTCGTGTGACAATCATAGGGGTATCAGTCTGCTACCAGTCGCGTCTAAAATATTGGCTGCTGTCTTGCTTCGCAGGCTGTGCAAAATACGTGGGCGATTGATTCGCGAAGAGCAGGCTGGGTTTCGTTTAGGTCGTGGATGCATTGATCATGTGTTCACCTTTCATCAGTTGTTGGAACACCGCCACACGTATTGCAGGCCAACGATCGTTGTGTTTCTTGATATTAGGGCTGCCTTCGATTCGTTGGACAGAACTGTGCTCTGCAACTGTCTGTTGGAGACAAGTGTACCTGAGAAATTTGTTAACATCTTGAAACCCCTATACAGAAACACCTCAGGTAGAATGAGGGCATACAACCAACTATCATCACTGTTCCCAACCAACAGTGGGGTTAGAAAAGGTTGCCCAATCTCTCCATTTCTCTTTAACTTTGCAATCGGTGACATTCTGAAGTCAGCTCTGAAGGAAGCGCGTGAAGATGGTGTAGATCTGCTACCTGGAGATAGACTTTTCGACCTCTAGTATGCAGACGATATCGCTTTACTGTGCGATAGCATGCACGCTGCCCAAATCGCACTTAATCAGTTGGCGATCAGTGTCTGTAAGTATGGTATGCACTTTGCATCATCTAAGTGCAAAGTACTGTTACAAGATTCAAACCCATCACGTCCCCAGCTCGATCAGGAAACTAAATCCGTATTTGAGGAAGAACTAGCTAAACATATATCTGAGTTCGACAGCTGTGCTCACCCTGAAGAAGCCTGGAAGAATATTCAGTCAGCCATAGATACAGCTGTAAAAGCTGTGAATAAGGTAAATCCGATGGTGAGTAAAAACCATTGGATTTCGACTGCCTCATCCGAACTGATAGATGCTAGAAGACTTATTCCGGCGAGCTCTGAATTCAATGAGGAGCGAAAGCTGCACAAAAGGAAGCTTAAGAAAAGCCTCCACAAGAACCGTGAACAGTGGTGGGTGACAAAGGCGAAAAAGATGGAAAAAGCATCGGCGATAGGCAACACTAGGTACCTCTTTAGAATCATCAGGGAAACGGGTGGGAGAAGGCAAATCATAAGCGAGACTATTTCTGAGAAAAATGGCTCCTTAATTAGCTCTCAGGATAGACGCCTTGAACGCTGGAAAGAACACTTTGAGGAACAATTTAACTTGCCTACAGCGACACTGAACCTCCCCGCTATCCAGCACACACCCGAATGGGATAGAGACACTGGTCCGCCGTCTGTAAGTGAGGTCAAAAAAGCTATCTGTAATTTGAAACGAGGCAAAGCGGCAGGACCCAACGGAATTATTCCGGAGGTGTTTAAATACGGGGGTGACATACCAGTATGTAGATTAACTAAGGTACTAGGCAAAGTCTGGGAATCCGAGACGGTTCCATCAGACTGGGGTAAGTCACTTATTATACCGATATTCAAGAAGGGAAACAAGTCATCATGTGATAATCATAGGGGGATCAAAAATCAAGCAGGCTTTAGACCAGGTAGAGGGTGCATAGATCATATCTTCACTCTCCGACAGATTCTAGAACATAGACACACTTTTCGGCGTCCAACAATTGTCATATTTCTTGACTTGAAGGCGGCCTTCGACTCCGTGAATCGAAAGGTACTATGGCAATGTCTGACTGTGAAGGGAGTGCCAAGAAAGTACATCGCACTAATCAAGGCACTCTATTCAAACTCACGTAGTCGTGTAAGGGCTTATGGGGAATTGTCATCTGAATTGATAACAACCAGTGGTGTCCGACAGGGATGTCCACTTTCCCATTTCTGTTTAACTTCATCATAGATATGCTAATGGAAGTATCCTTAACTGAACGTAACGACTTAGGAATCGACTTGTTACCAGGCAATAGTCTTATGGACTTGGAATATGCAGATGACATAGTCCTGTTAGGGGAGGATGCTGACAAAATGCAGAGTCTTCTGAACACCTTGAGCAGCAATCTTTGTATGTTTGGCATGCGATTCTCCCCTGCAATATATAAGATGCTGCTACAGGACTGGACTACGTCAACTCCTAGCTTAGTGATAGGGAGTGAAGTGATAGAACATGTTGACCACTTCACTTATTCGGGAAGTTGTATCAGCATCAACGGACTGATTGGCGACGAAATCTCAGCACGGATCCAAAAAGCTCGAGCTGCTTTCGCTAACCAACGCCATCTCTGGCTGCTGCGCATGCCTAACCATCGCCTCCCCTGACAGGCATTACTAGCTAGCTGATATAGGTGCAGGTTAGAAAAGAGTAAGTGGTGAGTGGCCAAACAAAAACATGGCATCAATCCATGAAATCCTTGACAGTTAAACTGAGTCAGGTAGGGAGATGCAAACTGCCGGGTTGGGGCCCTCGGGACTCTAGGAATCAATGGCTGGAGACAATAGGTGACATGGCTCAAAATCGTTGTCAATGGCCAGCGCAGATGTATTCAGTCTCTGTAATCTTTCATATTTCTTTCTACCATTACCCATTCTGTTTCACTCTTATACTTGTCAAACTGTATTGATTCTCTTCACTCATCTTCTTGTCTACCTCTATGTGCTATTTGGAACGTGGCAACTCGAACTGCTGCACTTCGGTGACAAGTTCTATGTTGAATCCAGACAGACAGACTGTTAGAAGATTGGCAGGAGCCTATACCTGCACTCACTGTTGTGAGTGAACCGCTTGAAGTTGTTGATAGGTTTATATGTCTGGGTATTTGTGACAGAAGGGTGACGGATGAGATCTCCAACCGTATAGTGAAAGGTAGAGTGGCATACATGAACTTGAGCCAACTACGGTGCCGTCGCGACGTTAGCCTGGCTCTCAAAGGTCGGGTATATAATGCTTCGGTGCGGGCTGCGCTGCTCTACGCCTGTGAAACCTGGCCTCTCCGAGCTGAGGATGTGCGGCGACTCTGCGTGTTCGATCATCGCTGTCTCCGCAGGATTGCTTGCGTTCGATGGCATCATCGCGTGAGTAATTCTGAGGTTCGGTGGCGTGTGTTTGAACACAGCGGAGATCACCATTCCCTGAGTGTCGTCACCTGGAAACACTGGCTCCCGTGGCTTGGACATATGCTGCGAATGTCATCCTAGAGGCTTCCGTACAGGTGTCTATTCGCTAGCTCTGGGACGGGATGGAAAAGGCGGAGGGGTGGTCAGTCCATGACGTGGCGCCGTGGGAAGAAGGATTTCTGTGTTAGATTAGCATCGGTTGGTGTGTCACGACTCCCTGGTTGGCGTCGGCGAGCCAGCTAGAATCGATGGCTCGAAACGTTATCGGATATGGCCAAGGATTGTAATCAATGGCAAACGTGTTGCAATTTCCCTCTTTCTTCCCTTCCCGATGATAGTTAATCAATACTGTTTGAACTTGTTAAGCATAACTGTTTTCCTTCCAGATGAAGTTCTTTATCCGTTCTTTACTTATATTTCTTTTACTTTTAATCCATGTTGTTTTATTATTATTGTGTGGCGCA